GCTATTTGGGTTCTCTTGATGTAGGCCTGTGAGCTGGAAAGGGGCAACTGAGATGTCTAGAAGTCAGCAGCCATGGAGGGGGTGTTCCAATTTTTGCTGTCTTATGCCCTTGGTTGAAATCATGCATGCCCCGCAGGGACTCACAGTGGCGCCCAGGAACCGTCTATTGGGGTGGTGGGGCTCAGGAAGCCTGCGTTCTGGCAAAGCGTGACTGTGGTGTCCAGAGTTCTGTAGTTGTGGGGTGGGAAGACTCAGCTATTGCTGAATACACGCGATTCTAGCGGCTGCTCACAGAGGCACCTGTGGTGTGTTTGCCAACAGGATGTACTGACACACTCTGAAGGGCCCTGGCACTGAAGCCACTGGATTGCAGTGTCTGTGGGCAGGTATCCCAGAAGAGGGAATTCAGCGTTTCTACAGCCCAGCAGTGCACCCCTGTTTGTTTAAGCGCATGTCTAGCAGGGCTCACAGTGGGGCCCCAGGGCTGCGTGGAGCGGTGGTCTTGGGAGACCTGCACGCTGGAAAAGCATGCAACTGTAGTGTCCAGAGTTCTGCAGCTGTGGGGTGGGGAAACTCAGATTTTGCTGGTGCACTTGTGGTGGATAGGCTTGCGTTCCCTGTAGGAGCACACAGGAGCACCCTCAGTGAGTTTGTTAGCGCAGGCGCACTGAAGCACTCTGAAGGGCCCTGGCACGCTTTGGGCAGGTATCCAGGGTGGGTGAATTCAGAATTTCTACTGCCCAGGGGAGTGCGTCCCTATTAGTCCAAGATCAGACCCAGCAGAGGCTCACCGCTCCTTCCCCAAAGTGCCCTGTGGATAGGTGGGCTCAGGGGGCATGAGCAACTGTGGCAGTGCAGTTCGCTGGCGCTGAGCTCTGATGCACTCTGAGGGGCCCTGGCGCTGAGGGGCCCTGGCCCTTAAGTTACGCAGCTGGGTGTGTGGGGGCAGTTTTTGAGGCAGAGGGAATTCAGAATTTCTACTGGGGGGCAGTGCACCTGTGTCTGTACAAAATCACACCCAGCTGAGGCTCCCAGTTACTCCTAAGAGAAGTCTATGGAGTGGTGTGCCTGGGAGACCTGCATGCTGGAGACACACAAAAGCGATGTTGGAGGTCTGCAGCTGTGGAGGGGGTGGCTACACTTACTGCTGAGGGATTGGTGGAGGTCCCAGGGTCTGCGAGTCTGCAGGCGTGGCTGCAGGATTTTGGCTGGAGTGGCTGCGGGGTTGAGGGGAATGTCCAAGGCCTGTCTGGGTGGTGGTGCTGCTGAGTTCCTAGAAGAGCCCCCTCTCCCCTTTAAGATGGCGGGGGCTCCGTGCCAGAGTCCCACAGTCTGGGGAGTGCCGCAGAGGTGGTAGTCTCTCTGTGTCCCAGAGAGCCTGGTCTGCCAGCCTCTGCTGCTTCTGCCGGATTTAACTGTCCCTTACTCACTCACTCACACACACACACACCACACATCCACACACTCTCCTTTCATCCCCTCACTCACTCACTTCCTATCCCTCACCTCAGTCCTGCCAGCCGCCATCTTGGATACTCTTCCCCCTAACACTTTTTTATACAATATCTGAAGTTGATTGACTCTAAATATTTTGCTGATATATCTTTCAGTGCTAGGTTTAACACAAAATGAGCTTATGGAATAGAACCTCAGTTGTAGCGGAAACAAAGAAAAAACTTTTTGTGTTTGGTTTGTTCATATTACTAATGCATCTGATCTGAAAGATGGTGAAAGTAAATTTCAACCTGTCCTGAAATTGGCCAGAGCCTTCCATATGGAATGTAATGTTGTCAATTTCATTTGCAGTATACTATCAGCCATACCCAACTGGAAACAAGAACACTGCAGCTCTCAGTCTGGCATTATGATCGATTTGGACATAACAGCTTCCTTGGGGAGGTGGAGATTCCTTTTGACTCATGGAACTTTGAAAATCCAAGTGATGAGTGGTTTGTACTTCAGCCCAAGGTAGGAAATGCTTCCAGATTAGTCAAACAATTATGCAATGAGTCAAGTTATGAGCCACATTGATGTCTTCCAATTTTCAAGGGATAATCTGAAAAATTAGTAGTACAGCTAATTTTGGAATCATGTAATAAATGTAAATATATTCTTTTGTAAATCTTTATTCAATACAATGCAAACCACATAATCATATATATTATTGCAAACCACATAATCATATACATTATTGCAAACCACATAATCATATATATTATAATATGCTTTACTAAAAATGTATCATCATTTGGAGGTCTCTATTGATAAAATAAATACATGATATTATCCTATTTGAAAGAGAACACATTCATTTTCACATAAACAAAAACAAAGAGAACACATTCATTTTCACATAAACAAAAACAAAGAGAACACATTCATTTTCACATAAACAAAAACAAAGAGAACACATTCATTTTCACATAAACAAAAACAAATCCATAGAGCAAGATCAGTGTCAAAACATTCTCTCTATCCCCCATTCTTTATAATTCAGACATAAGCAGGAGTTGTCTTACCTTGGCTCACATGAGGAAGTGACCAATAGCTAATGTATCTGGTTTCCTACTTTCCTACTTTTGAGATTCATAACCCAGGACTTGAGTTATAGTCAGAGAAATAATCTCAAGGCTGGTTCTAGAAATTGATAATATAGTATGTTCTAAACTACCTTGGATTCATTCAATGCAGCTGGAGTCCTTCTACAGGTAGTCAAGAGTAAAGTGAAAAAAAAGATCATATTTACATAACCAAACATTTTTCTTTATATAGAAAGACAAAAGAAGAAGAAAAAGCATGATAGTAAAGATAATGGACTCAAATGAAAATTCCTGAGTTTAATCCTGGTAGCTTCATGATTGTCTGTGTGAACTTGGGCAAATTCCTTAACTTCCCAGGCTTTGGCATTCTCATTTGTGATATAATAATTTGACATAGCTTATAGGGATGCTGCAAGGTTTGAATATGCATTTTATGTGATGCTCGCAGTATTGTGTCTGGCACATTGTAAACTCTCAATAAATGCTAGGTAATATCTATATTATATCACAGTACCCTTATTGCAATTGACAGAATCCCAACCCATACTGCTCAAAAAGGAAAAGGAAATTATTGGTCAGTGATTATCAGCATGGCTTGATCCACTTCTCTGTGTTGACTTAATTTTCAAACTTCATACAGTATTTGCTTTCTTCACTAGCTCCAGGTATGTTTCTTTTGGACACTATACAATTTCAAGCCTCCCATCCTAGCACCACACTGTCTAAGAGAGGAGGGAGTTCCTCCTCCTCCAATAGTCTAACCAATACCCTGGGCCTGGTTATCCTAATCCTAGATTATTTGCCCATCCTGAGATGACACTGTGGCCATAGAAGTGAGCTACATTGACTGTTTTAAGACAATCAGAACACATCCTGGTCCTAAAGGTGGTATTGCCCCAGAGGAAATCCAGGTATAGTAGTACTAAAGGAACGGTGAGTGGATGCTAGACAGGAAAAAGCAACAGGTATCAACAATAACAAATGTTTGGGTATCAACAATAACAAATGTTGATCATCATCAATAGCAGCATTGTTCACATCTAATGCTTACAACAACCATTGTGAGCTAAGTATCATAATCCTCATTTTATATAAGGAGACTGAGACCCAGAAATTAAATACAACTTTCTAGTGGGATTTTATAAATTTTTGTCTCAAACATGGTGGAAATAACTAATGAAAAAAAATATTTAGGAGGTATAATTTGGCTGTGAGTAAAATCGACAACAATATAATAAAAATATTTAAATATGAAATAACTGCAAGCCCATGACTAACATAAATGTGATAGAGATACAAAGTACAATAATAACAACAAATGATTCCACAATAGTATAACAGTCTCCTGACAATATTTATGGAAAATATTTGGTCATTACAGCTTTAAATTTCTTGGAATTGAATGAAATGACTCACCATAATGGATGGCACTTAATGTGACCTAACAATCTCCTATCACTTCATTCCTTATGTGTATGGGTGAGCATCATAGAATCATAGGTAGAAAATGTCTAAGGCATCATATGATGCATGACATAGATGAAGGATGATTAACATGCATTTTATTACATAAAATCAACTTCTTTACCATAAATTTAAGTTTAAAGCATATTTGGGGCTCTTTTGAAATCAGCTTAAAGTATCCTCTGTGCTCAGGTAACAACAACTTTTCCAGTTAATTACTTTCACATTGCCATTGAGTGGTTTCACTTTCTAATACCATAAGGAGAAGCATCTCTCTGAGCCTGCTCAAGGTAGAAAAGTTCTGATTGTGTTTAATATCTGTTGAACTCAGTTGGTTCTCTGCCAGATGACTCTGGATTCCTTTCACCAAGTTTGTTAGGATTTTTGCCTCCAACCACCTCCACCTGAAACTCTCTTTAGAAAACTGTCCTCGGGTTACTGTGGCTTTTTCCACATGGGCAAAGAGCCAGAAGTTCTTTGGAGTTTATGGATCTCCTGCAACAAGGCAACTCTTAACCAACACCTGATAGGTAAGGTGGAGGAAGGGATCTGAAAACTCAATTCCCTTACTTAGTGTCGGAAAAACTTGAAGGTGTTACTTATATTCCAGAGCACTTCTGCTGGATCAGTCTCTGTCTTTGCCTGGATCCCTCTCTTCCCTGACCTGTTTCTCCCACCCCTTCACTGGATTATCCTGAGAATACTTTCTTAGTCACTTGTATAAGAATCCTCATCTCAGAGTTCACTTCTGGGGAACCCAGTATTAAGTTAGTGTCACTAATCCATGTCATCTTCCTCTGCCAAACTTCTTCTGAAACATATGGAGGAAAGGCTGCAGGTTTGCATTACATCCAAAAATGAAGGTGGGGGGGAAAAATGAAGGCTGGTATCCTGCTTGGTATGCTGCATCTCACTTCATTAGTGGCTCATCCTCAGACTGAGCTGCGCTCTGTGTGATGATTAATTTTCAGAAGTTTCACTTCATTCTCAATCTCTTCGATCAGTCATTTTGATGCAGTAGTCACTTCATTAGCTGCCATTTGAGCAGCCCCAGAGACTTGATATTTCTTGTAGATTATCCAGCTGAGGAGGTGAAATGTGAGCTACTGGAACTAATTTATTTAGTAATAGAGGATCAGAATTGATAGTCCCCAAGCTTTTGGAAATACAGATATATTTTCGCAGTGGGGAATACTGGAAAGACATAGTCTCTTACTTCTTATTGAGTCTGTGTTAGTGGAAGCCCCTTAACACTTACCTTTGTTTTAGTTAGGTCTTACAGCACTAAGCCAGTCAAGAAGCTATTTCAGACCCAGAAAGAATTCAAGATACCAAACATACTATAAAGTAGTTTCACTGTATAATTTCCACTTTACTGCATGATATGGAATTGCTTAGTAGCTATAATTCATTATGTTACTGAAAGGCATGTTAGGTAGTTAAACAAGAAGGGTTTGTTAGTATGAATTACCATTCATGTGTTCCCAGAGGCACTATTGTAAATACAAGTACCTTTGAAAATCAACAGCCAGTTTAAGTGGTTTTCCAAGGAAAATTTCTCTGTTCTGCCTTCAGGCAGAGAATAAATGTAAATTCCTGTGGAATTGATACCTAGCTAAAAGGCTGTTTCTTTATTGGGCAGTTTAGTAAGACATTGGTTTATAATTTATTATCCCATCTTAGACCTGTAAATGCACTGAGAACTCTGCTTTCTACTCTGATGAAAAGTGGATCCCTCTTAAAAAACAAACAAACAAACAAACAAACAACAACAACAAAAAAACAGAAGATAATGGGTATTACTAATTATACTGCACCCCTGCTCAGAGACCCGACCGCTTTTAATGTACTTTGAATAAATCCTAACCCTCACCTTGGCACTCAATGCTCTCTTGATATGGCCCAGTCTTTTGAAACAAAGGAGGATGTCGGTGCTCTTCCCATATCCCCATTTCCATGCATACCTGGCTGTCCATGGCTTCCACTCCCACCAGCCAACACCTCTCAGTCTTTGTAGGCTGCTGGAGTGGGTTTGATCTGTGGGCATGGGAAGCCAGAACAGCCTGGGTATTTAAGTCTCCTGGGGATTGCGGGCAGAAGGAACAATCACTCTCACTCCCTTGCCTCCTATGGGGCCAGCTCTGAGGTGCTCTGTCTTGTTTATAGATCTCCCTGTGGGACTGAGCAAAAGTTACTCTTCATGAATTTTTGCCTGATATCACAACCTTGTGAGTCTCACTTCACTTTCTGATCCCACTTCTCCACTACACTTCCTAGTAAAACACTCTAACATAAGTTCATGTCTTAGGGTCTTCTGGGGAACCCAGAGTAGATACTTTGCTTGCATCTTCCTTGCTACCATTTTCCTATACACACACCTCTAACCACACCTGACGTTATTTTACTTCTTATACACGTTCTACTCAGTTCCCACTGTATTTTGCTCATACTGCTTTCTTGACCTGGACTAACCTTCTTTCCACTCTATCTTCATCTGGCATCATCTCTCCTAATCCAATCTGGATTACTCTTTTTCTTCCCACAGTGGTTTATTTGTACTTAATTGGAGCAACTGTCATCATTTGTATGACATTGAGCTTGCTATGTAGTAGAAGCCTAGGAGAAGACTCCCAGAAATCAGAACTAATAGTAGGTCAATTAATAAAGTCACATAACATACACATACAAACACACATTTCTAAGGCATTTCTTAAATGTTTATTTTAACTTAAGTAAATGTGCATTTGTTTTCAAGTCTTTTAATATAGGAACAATTCATTTTATTTGAGCATGGTTTCAGTTATTAAAATTCTGTCATATCTTTCTGGAATAAATTCTACCCCTTATAAATCATCATCAACAGCTTCAAGTTTTAATTTCTCCACAGGGAAACAAGAATTTAAGAATACTTTCAAAGCAAAACAAATATAAAATCTTTCTAAATAGTCATATTTTTTCTAATCT